TGGATGGTTGTTTTCTGACTGGTCGGCAGACCGCCAACTGGTCGGCCCTACTGGTCGGCCCTACTGGTCGGCTGCAATACGGTCGGTGGTTGGGGGCGGCGGTCGGCAGGGATGCAACCATGGTGTAACTGATGTACTTGTTTTGGGAAGTGTGCTGTCTGACTTGATAGACATGTGACAATCTATTGACAAAGGATGCCAGTTACTATCCGTTAAACCACCACTACCTCGGAGTCTGTTTTTGTCGACCCTAATTTTCACTGCGCACCGAGTTTTGCCGAGCTTGGGTTCCATGTTGTTTCTTTTCTGGTACTCTCCGGAAAAAATAAAAGAAAAAGCACGGCCAGACTTTGAAAAGATTACCCACTCGCAGCCAAAGGAAAATAAAAGAAAACAAACAAACTTCCTTTTGGATGTGATACCTGGTAGATACCTAGCCCAAAGTTGTTGTGCGAGTATGCCCTCAGTGAGGGTGTTTCGGCAAGGGTGTCAGGTCTGGGAAAGAAAGAAAGGGGAAAAAAAAATTGAAACTGAAACTTAGGGCAGGAAAGCGGGTTCATACATTCTGCAAGGTAATAGTGTGGGCATGCCCTCCTACACAAAGTGTCAGCACCCCGTGGACTGCGCCGTGCCTCCCTGGGGGGCCACCAAAAACAAAAAAAAAAAGACGAAAACAAAAAACACAAACACTGAAAACCTGAAACTGGCCACTATATGTGGCATTCTGAGCCACACGGGCCCCAGTTAGGGCCCGGTTCCAAATAGGCAGGGTAGGCCTAAGGGACGACGGTTCAGATGAGGCCCAGATAGGCCAGAACTATGGCGGTTCAGGCAGGCCGGGTAGAGGCCCAGGCCAACGGCCACAAAGCCGGTAACGGTCCAGCATAGGACTTACCAGCGGCGATGCAGTTAAAACTGGACCGTTGATCAGATCAACGGTCCAGGCCGGTAGGTACCAGCAGGTAGGACGCCGGCCCAGCACTACAAAAGGCTGGGTACCACCCTCAGTAAGTCAGAAGTTGGTACGGTTGGGTTAGTCTTCAGGATTAGCGCAGCCTTGCAGCGCTAGTGAGATTAGCGCAGCACGGCAGTGTTAGCGCGAGCAGCGAGGAGAAGACGAGCAGAGCAGTGAGAAGGAACAGCGCAGCGGCCCTGCCGCGCCATAGCTACCGGATCAGGTACCAGGGAGGAAGGCTTTGCCTTCTCTCCCTCTGTTCCTCCACCCCCCTGCTCCCTCTCTCTCTCTCTCTCGCGCGCGCTCTTCTCCTACCTTCTCAGTCTAAGCCTACTTCTGAGTTCTCCTACGGGACTACTATGAGTATGAAGGATGGTTACGAATTCTGATAACATTGGGAACAGCAACATTGGGACTACAGGTTGAGGACTACTTGGAGGATCTGATTTCATCTTACGACGCCTTCGGCGCCTTCGGTCGGGGACCCCTGCTGGAGATGCACTTGACATTGTGAGATCGATATCTGAGACATGGTATTCGCAACATTTCGGATTCTCGTTACTTCTGACATTTCAAGATACTATCTTTGGAAACATTGAGTTGATGTCATCTTCCCTCTCCTCCTCCCTACGTCTCTCTCCTCCCTCCATTCGTCCGTGGATGATCTCAGACCCTGGCCTTCGTCTATGTCTACGGCCAGGCCTTTCACACCCCCGATGTATGGTTGAGAGTGTTCGATTGCAGTCCGAGTCAGGTCGGGGTCAGTCCATTTATCTCAAGTCTTCCGCTTGCAATTGGTATCAACTCTGTATTATCTGGTGGGTTCTGGGAATCTGCGCCATACCTATGACTGTGTTTCACGAGTATGCAACAGTTTGGTATCGGAGCAGACCAGCATTGGATGACTCACCATTGATTGATTGATTGATTGATTAGCTAAACCTGTACTCTGTTATCATTAAATCGCAAGTTGCAAATTTGTTTTCTTTTTCTCGTACTTACATAGTAATTAGGTCGTTAAATTATAATTTTAGGTTTTGCAACTTTTCTCCATATTGCGCAAATTAGGGAATCGCTAATTACAAGTAACCTAATTAGCGCTAATTAGGGTTAGTCCTAACCTAACCTAACGACCTATCAACCTATGGGAAGTAAGTGCCAACCAGGCACCGCGCCAGTCAAGGCAGATCGGGCCTGAGCACGACCACATTCAAACTGCAACTTCACGGAAGCGTCACTTTTTGCAAAATGCATCTTTTATTGCGTTGAAAGGTTGAATCTTCCCAGCAAATTCTGTATCTTACTATTACCATTCATCTTCTACTTACTTAGTGACCTCGTGATAATGCTAAATTCTCCCGATTAAAATTTCGTGAAATTATTGAAGTTATGTTCAAAATTTTAATGTTTAAACTTGCTTAAACTTTATTCATTTTTATTTGTGCAAATTTGAATATTCTTTAATTAAATATTTAACTTTTGCAAAATTAATTGTTGCAAATTTAAATATTCAATCTTTTGTCAAAATTAAATTTTATTAATTCATATTTTCCAATTAAAATTATTTAAATTCTAAAAAAATTGAAATTTCCATAGAGGGGGGGGGGGGGGGATTATTTTCTTTTGATTAGCATCAAATTTCGAGGTCAGAGGAGAAAGGGACTGTCTGTGCATGGTTTGCCTCTCCCACGTCAATGCCCAAGCCAGCCCCAAGAGGCCGGTTACCCCTCCTATCCCCGTTCAGCAGGCCGATGAACCGCTTCTAGCGTTCCTCAAACGGCTCCAATCCTACTCGGAGACCACGGCAGCTGAACTGAGCAAGTGGGAAGAGGAGGCCCGCCAGCAGGAAATTCAACGCCAACTGGCAGAGGCAGAGGCAGCAAGTCAGCAGGCCGCAGCAGAAGCTGCAGCAGCCGCACGGTTGCACAGTTGCAACAGCAGCAGGTCGAGGCAAGTCAAAACCAAGTTCGTTACCAAGCCACAATGGAGCTCGCCAACGAAGAAGCCACGTACCGGAGGGTGCACCGGCAACAGTATTTTTGAGCAAACGATGACCAAGAGGAGCCGACTGAGGACGAGAGAAACAAGGAGGCCACAACAGTTTTGATGGAGAACCTGCTGTACACGTGCAGTTGGCAGCAACGTGAACTGTTGGCCATGCGGCAGGTCTTCATCTGCCACGAAACGACATTTAAAGCATTGGACAAGAAGATCGCTACCATGCAGGCCGAGATTAGCACACCACACGCCGCCAACAGCCAGCAGGAGACACTCAATGACCAGCTGCAGACGGATGTCAGCATGGGGTTGGCACAACTGTCAGCAGCTGCGTCAACGGGCAGCGCAGTGGCACACTGCAGCCCAGCTTTGGCCGCGCAGGCCAAGCAACTCGAGGAGCGGATCAACCACGCGGTCGCGTCCCTCGGCGACATCAGCAAGTTTGCTGGAGCGTCGACAGTCAGCAAGTTTGCTGGAGCGTCGACAGTCAGCAATCAACTGCAGATGCTCAGCAACCGCATTCAGCAACGACCGGCCGTTGTTGCCAAGGAATGGAAGATGCCGAACTTCAAGATCGAGAAGTTCGACGACTATCACAAGACCGATCCGCTGCAATGGTGGATGGCATTCAACGCAGAGGCGGACGTGCATCACACTCCAGCACTGCGGCGGCTTGACGCACCCTACCTCCAACTCATTGGAGGGGCACAGGCCTTCATGACGCACATGGCAGTCACATTGGAATGTACCATCGCCACCCTCCACACCAAGATCACGTGGGAGGAATTCGAGAAGAAGTGGAAGACCCGGTTCATGATCAACAACGACAAGCGTCACGCCTTGAACGAGATCTTTCGCATGTTCCAAGGCCAGCAACCTTCACGAGAGTGGCTGATGGAGTGGCAGAAACTCGTCGCCACCCCGGAGTTGAGCTTACCATTCGACACAATCCGGGCCAAATTTTTCACTCGGTCATGCGACGCCTAGACAGCTGCGCTGGGCACGGAATTCCAGTATGAGACCTTTGATGACATGATCTCAAAGGCAAGAGAACTAATCCAAGGTAACCGGCGCGCGGCGAACGAGGCCCTCCAACAGCCCGGTTATGTGGAGAAAGGCAAAGGTCAACGGACGCCGCGAGTAGCAGCAGTCCAGCAAGGAACAAGTGAGGACCACGCAGCCGCGTCTACATCAAGTGACGGAGATGTGGCGGCATCGATACCATCGCAACGCTGAAGACCCCGAGGGGCAAAACAAAAGGCGAAACCCGCGTCGGCGCGATGGAGCAGGACAGGCACCATGGACAAAGTTCGGCATTACCGAAGACATGTTCAAGTTGCGACAAAAATGGGGATGCTGCTTTTGGTGCAACAACACCAAACACATCACCAGCGCATGCCTCGACAAGGACAAGGAGAATGTCAAACATCCAAGCTTGGGAAACTGAGCACCGCGGGAAGTGCAGCGACATCACTTCCCAATCCGCCGGAGTTGGCTGCCTTGCTAGCAGTCCCTCTCAAATTCGGGGATGACGCGGTAGTCGCAAGTTCTTGTATCGATTTTGAGAACTATGCTGTTGAGTTGGTGCCACCGTTGAACCAGCCTCTCCACGTGCAAGATTCAAGTGCATGAGCGGTAGTTTCGTCGTCGGACAACGAACCGGTTGCTTCGCCAGCCCTTCTATCGGAGGATCCGTCAACTTGGGCGAGTCTTGAGGAACTCGACCCGTTGACGGTTGAGGACTTCCAATGTTTGCCTCTTCCCTCCATCGGTTCTTTGCCAACACCGCATTACAATGCCTTAATGGCACATTTGCACGAATACTTGCACGTTGCAGTACCACCTTCGTCGACGAACGGTGGAGTAGCGGCTGTTGATCTTTGTAACTATTTAGCGAAGATCGACCGCGAGTATGCAACGCAACGGTACGTCGACATCGACGCGCCGCTCCTGTACATCCGCATTCAGATTGGAAAGGCGACCTGCAGAGCCTTGATCGATTGTGGAGCGACTCGCAACTACATCATCCAAGACTTCATGGCACGCGCCGAGCTAGGCCCGCGCGTTCGAAGGAAAAGTCAGCCTTCGCGATGGTCACACGCAAAAGTCAATCGACCGATGCGTTGACTTGGTGCCCGTGTACTTCGCCCTGCTAGCATGTGAGGCCGTGTCTTTCGACATATTGGACACCAAGTTCGATATGATCTAAGGCATGTCGTGGCTGCAAAGCGAAGACCATCCGGTGAACTTCTATCGACGCACCGTTCACGTTCATGATCAGCGTGGCGAACTAGTCCCGTGTACGGTGCCGCTTCCTCATCCTTCGATTGGTTGTCACGTGGTATCTGCGGCGAGCATTCACCAATCCATCCGGCGGAATGACGTTGAGGAGATGGGCATATGTTTTCCTCACGCCCTCCCACCCGGTGATCAGCCCAAGACGGATACGTCGGACCCACGCATCATTGAGCTGTTGGACAGCTATGAGGATGTCTTCGAAGCTCCCACCGGAGTAGTACCGGATCGGCCCATACACCACGGGATCACTCTCGAGGACGACGTCGTACCTCCGCGCGGATGTATCTACCGCCTGAGCAAGGAGGAGCTTCAAGTGCTTCGGGCACAACTAGACGACCTCTTGGCCAAGGGCTGGATTCGCCCTAGCTCTTCGCCATACGGTGCTCGCATTCTCTTCGTCCGGAAGAAGAACAAGGACCTTCGTTTGTGCATCGACTATCGGAAACTTAACGCACAAACGATCAAGAACGCCGGCCCTCTCCCTCGGATCGATGATCTTCTCGAGCGACTAGGCGGCGCCAAATACTTCTCGAAGCTTGACCTCAAATCCGGCTACCACCAGATCGAGATCCAGCCAAGAGATAGGTACAAGACCACGATCAAGACACAGTATGGGCACTTTGAGTGGATCGTCGTGCCTTTCGGTCTCACCAATGCCCCGGCTACTTCCCAGAGGCTATGACGACCGAATTCCGCGACTTGCTGGACCGCACCGTACTCATTTACCTTGATGATATAAGCACCTCGAGCACCTTCGCGCGGTTTTGAAGCGGCTCCGTATCGCCAAGTACAAGGCAAACCGTGACAAGTCTGAGTTTGCCCAACAAGAGTTGGAGTACTTAAGCCAATCTTGTCGGGGTCAGTCCATTTATCTCGAGTCTTCCGCTTGCAATTGGTATCAACTCTGTATTATCTGGTCCGTTCTGGGAATCTGCGCCATACGTATGACTGTGTTTCACGAGTATGCAACAGTTTGGTATCGGAGCACACCAGCATTGGATGACTCACCATTGATTGATTGATTGATTGATTGATTAGCTAAACCTGTACAATGTTATCATTAAATCGCAAGTTGCAAATTTTTTTTCTTTTTCTCGTACTTACGTAGTAATTAGGTCGTTAAATTATAACTTTAGGTTTTGCGACTTTTCTCCATATTGCGCAAATTGGGGAATCGCTAATTATGAGTAACCTAATTAGCACTAATTAGGGTTAGTCCTAACCTAACCTAACGACCTATCAACCTATGGGAAGTAAGTGCCAACAAGGCACCGCGCCAGTCAAGGCAGATCGGGCCTGATCACGGCCACATTCAAACTGCAACTTCACGGAACTTTCACTTTTTGCAAAATGCATCTTTTATTGCGTTGAAAGTTTAATCTTCCCAGCAAATTGTGTATCTTCCTATTACCATTCATCTTCTACTTACTTAGTGACCTGGTGATGATGCTAAATTCTCCCGATTAAAATTTCGTGAAATTATTGAACTTTTGTTTAAAATTTAAATGTTTAAACTTGCTTAAACTTTATTCATTTTTATTTGTGCAAATTTGAATATTCTTTAATTAAATATTTAACTTTGGCAAAATTAATTATTGCAAATTTTTATATTCTTTAATTAAATATTTAATCTTTTGCCAAAATTAAATTTTATTAATTCATATTTTCCGACTAAAATTTATTTAGTTTCTAAAAAATTCGAAATTTGCGTAGGGGGGGGGGGGGNCCCAAACAAAAAAAAAAAAAAAAAGAGCCTTAGCGTTGGGTGGGGATGTGCTGTATTTGAGGGATGCCTGAAGTGGACTTCGAACTGAAAACGCCACCGCGCCGTAGTTACCCCAACTTTGTAATTACTGAGTCCTACTCATACAGTTGAGGTAACTATGGCACAGTCACATTTTCACAAGTTGGGGTAACTACGGCGCGGTGGACTCATACAGTTGGGGTAACTGCGGCACAGTCACATTTTCACGAGTTGCCCCAACTTTATAATTACTGAGTGAAAAGTTGCCCCAACATTATAATTACTGACACGGGGACGTCATACTAGGTCTTTTCCAACTTATCTCTGGACATAAAATTAATGCGGTCATGTGCATCCAGGCCTGGCTGTAACAACCGTCAGATACATCCAAGAGACTCCTTGTGAGAATATCCCCTCCTACTCCGATTCAACACTCAGCTCAGCCTGGCCAACCAGACCATGTCACCTTCCAGCCTGCTCCTTCGTTTTCTTTTTGATAACTCTTTGTCCTTCTCGCAATTTGGGGTCTATAAGAGACAGGCTGAGACAGGCGCCTTCATTGTGGGAGGACCGTAGTTGGGGATGGGATTGGCCAGGAGTGCCTGTGCCTTTCCCATCCCTGTTTGGCTGCAGCATTCATGTGAGGGACGCCGGGACCATTTCCCGGTTTCATAATGGAAAGTTGCTTTCTTTTTAAAACGGAAGAAAGGGGGGGGGAGGGGGAACGATGACTGCCCGCAGTGCCGACAGCCGTCGTCATCTTCAGGGGGGTTCGCACCTACAATCCCCATCCCGCCATCCCTCTCCCCCTCCCTCCATCCATCCATCCGTCTTCAGACTCTTCATCTTCTTCTTCTTCTTCTTGGACGTTTTAAGCAGTCTCCCTCTATCCTCCCATCTCGCCATCCTTCCCCCCCTCCATCCATCCATGCATGCAGCAGACATCAGAGCAGCAGACAACAAACGTGCGGAGCCCCCAACCCAAAACATATCAGATGACATACATTCAGCATACAGCAGGCAATACACATGCAGAGCCGCCAACGCCCAGACCCCCCCCAACCCCATCAAGCCCCACCCAGACCCCCCCCCCCCCCCCCCCCCCGCCCAAAACAAAAAATTTATTGCAGTCCTAAACCCTTTCCTCCGGCACACCCACATCATGACTGTATATGACTGTAATGATAGCTTGTATACATTCATATTATCTGGATCCGTCAAAAGTGTTTTTGGGGGCGCAAGCTGGAGTTGCTCTTAATTGGTCCGGTGGGAGGCGAATACGGGAAAGTTGGCCATAGCCACTGCTGCTACTCGATGGGGGGTGGGGGAAGAAAATGGAAGGCGCAGCTACTGGCAAAATGCTCGGTCTTTGCGTTAGCTGCCAGCCTGCCACCTCCGGGTCCCCCACCCGCGGCTCCACCCTACTCCCTGACCACCGTGGATTAGGGCACGAGGGGGGGGGGGGGGGGGGGGGGGGAGGATTTTTTTCTTTTGATTAGTGTCAAATTTCGAGGTCAGAGGAGAAAGGGACTCTGTGTAGGGGTAACAAAGGAGAAACCAGGGTTTAGGGTTTAAGACCAGGAAGTAGAATCACAGCTTTGAGTTATGTGTGGTACTTCGATTTCGGGTCCCATTGGGTCTCGTCAAAAGCATAACACTGGGTAAAGCTCCCAAACCCGGTCTTTATGTGGGGTGGCCGGCCCTTTTTTTTTAATTAAAAGAAAAGTGTTGCAGCCAAAAAAAGAAAAAGAAAAAGAAAAAGAAAAGACAGGAGTTGTCTGCTGAAACGTGCCTCCGGATTTGCTCTTTCTGCCTGCAGAGCACTGTGTAGTTCTGGATCACTGGTGCAAGCAATGAGGTAGGTCTTCCTTTGAATGCTGTATTTCCTTTCGTCCTTTCTGAGGAGAGGGGGAAACAAAGGAAAAGTAGAGGCGAAGCGGCACAGAAAGGAAACCACTATTGTCATCGTGACTTGAGAAAACAGCGCAGGTTTCACCCAGCATTTGTCCGTTC